TGCATTCCCTGCAAGATCAGTATCTTCTGTTTAGTAGCCACGAGGTCAGGCATGCTACGCAGAGCTGGGCCCACTTTGACAGGGTCACGTTGGTGGCGTATACAGTACGCAACTGGCCACGTCTAGCTCAACCCATGCAAGAATCCCTCTTGGATTTAGGGTTTAATCTTCCCGACTTACCTGCTGGGCATCTGGTACCCACGCCGAATCTTTTGCCCACTGTCTTAGCTTGAGAGCCGGTCACCCAAGGTGTTTTATGGTTCTCTAGGCTGTAGACCTTAGAATGCAAACAGCATCGACGGGCCAGTGCGTGGGTTGAAAAGTTCAGCGCGAGGCGTGTCTGGGCATGCACAGAAAGCCGCACTTGACGATTAAATGCAAAGCTGCTGTTTAGAACCTAGGCTCATGTCCGCGCAAGCTGCGACGACTTACCCAGTGTCGGAGGGCGCGGATCCTTTGCCTTCATCTAGAATCAGATACTGCTGCACTCCAGGATGCGGTCGTGCATATCTGCGCACCAAGCATAGACACTGCTGCTCAATGTGCCGCAGGGGTTTGCATTCGCCGAAGTGCACTTCTTTTCAGCTGGCATTGCGTCAAATGAGCCGCACCAAATGCTCTGTAACCAGTTGTACGCATTTGGTAAATTTTGGCTATGAGACATGCTGTGCTACCTGTGTGGCAACCCTTGGGGTCCAGCACTCTCAGGGATGTCATGACCGGCAGGAGCTGCTTCGGACGCTGTCATCAGACTCCAGTGCAACAGCTACAACTGCTAGGTCACGACACAATATGCAGGGTTTCAGAGCATTGCGAACTCTGGCTTCCCCAGCATCTGAAGCACCTGAAGCAGTGGCTGATCCTGTCTGCGGAGTTTCTGAGTGCAGCAATACGGCATCATCTGAGCAATCACCGGGCAGTGAGAGGGGACCAGTATATACAGCGAGGGAAAGTTCTTTCTGTACAGTTTTGGATCTAAATACCATGGACTAGGAACTGCATGGAATCACACTCCATGCCATTCACGTTTGCTTCGAGGAAGCTCGGAAGTGCCTCTGAGAGCTATGCAATTGTCATAGTGCTGCTTCAAGCGGCCGGATCTGAGATCTGTCTCCCGTTCGTCAAGCACTGGTGTACCGTGCGACGCTGCTGAATGAATACTACTACTACCACTACCACTACCACCACTGCCACTACCACTACCACTACCACTACCGCTACCGCTACCACTACCACTACCCTACCACTACTACTAATAATACTGCTGCTGCTACTACTACTACTACTACTACTACTACTACTGCTGCTATTGCTATTGCTAGTGCTACGACGACGGCGACGACGACGATCCACTGCTACTAGCTAATACCTCAACAGCTCAAGTCGCATGTCATTGTAGTCGTCGCAGTTGAAGCCCAGACCTCTGGGTGGATCCAACAAATAGATCCTTGAAGGGTTACAGGGTCACGAATTAAAGGGGTCTACCTTTTGGATCCTCCCGGCCGTCTGGAAGTAGTAGGAGAAGCAGAGGAGAATATCCGGTGGACAAAACTATCCTCCAAATAGCAGAACCCAAACAGCCCTGAACTATACACCCTATGAGCCCCAACCTCAGCCCGCACCAAAGGCCCGAAGCCCAAACCCTGCTATCAGCGAAGGTTTTATCAGCTTCACCGCTGGCCAGTGACTGTGGACACAAGCCCCTTTCCGAGCGCTCCTTGATGGCCCTAAGTCAGTCCTTTTTCTACGACTGCCGCCGTCTTTTGGGCTCCTGGAAAGAGACCCTGATTTCGAGAACAGATTATACAAGGTTTTAAGGGTGTGTTCATAGCTTGGGGTTTTAGCGAGGTGTTGGGGTGGTTTTCGGGAATATAGGATTTAAAGCTTGGGGCTTTGGGGTTGAGAGCTTCGCAAAATAGATTCTCAACACAGAGGTCTTTTTCACACAAGGAGTCGTCATCGTTGAGATCCCTTCACCCTAAACGTTAAACCCTAAGCGCGACTTGAGTTCCATGTAGGGGTCCCTTATCTTCAACATTCTCGCACCTCACACTTCGCCCATGATGCTTCAGGATCCTTGGAGGATTCCTTTCAGGCTTCCTACGAGGAATCTCCTTCAAGGGTTCTATGATTGGTTCTAGAGTTTAGGGTATAAGGGGTACTTCCGTGTATATTTTGAGCGATGTCTTGTTCCTGTATGTGTACACAAGCGGGGATGCCACGCACAACAAAGTAGGCAGAGGCACACGCACCCTGCTGAACCGGCTTTTGAGTCGCTCTTATGTCCCCTGGCCTGGTCATAAGTAAAAGCCCGCAGTTACTCTGCAGGGATGGGATGCGGCAAAAAGGAACGACGACGTCTAAGGAGCTCACATAAGCCCTTTGTTAAAGATCATAGACGGCAAGAACAACTACGGCAGCAGCAGCTGCAGCCGCGACGTCTCCGCCATCATCGCACACTGAGTCCAAGACCAAGCCCTGAAAGCTAAACCTGAAAAGAACCCTGAAACCCTAGATCCGAACTCAAAAGCCAAACCTCAGACGCAAAAACCCTCAGACCCCAAACTAAGCCCAAAAAACCAAAGCCCCCGTAAGCCTGCAAGCCGAAGCCCCGAAGCATCCTGGAAACCCACAAGTAATAGCAAGACTAGTAAGAATACGAGTAACCGTATTAGCAATAATACGAATAGTAATATTACTACTGATAAAATTGGTAATCCCTTGTGAAGCCCCTGATACTTACCCCAGCTTTTCTTTGGTAGACATCGCTGCAAAGCCTTTATTCACAGAAAACTTACGCAGAGTTCGCCCTAAAGGCGGAAACACATATCCACGCACACCAAGAAATCCTCAAACAAAAGGTCTCGCGGGGAGTTTTGCTGGTGGACCGCCGGGATGGACCGAAAAGTCCCCCGCCACCGGCCAGCGACAAGGCACAAGAGAGCTTTCGTATCTAAGCCGGCTTCAAGATGCTGGTGTTCAAAAGTTTGTTTTATTAACCGGGTGTTTGAGAGGGTTGTTAAGCAACCAGTTTTTCATCCGGTCCCGGTCCTGCGTTTGATCCCGCCCTGTCCAGTCCCGACAAATTCGGCCGGACATCGAATTTCCGAAATCTGTCTGTCGTCGTCCTGGAGGTTTTTCATGCCCGGGAGTAATATCCGTGGTTAAGAACAACGGGCTGAAATTCTGGTTACTAAGAGCCTCTTTTTAAATCCCAAACCTCAAACCATAAAACCCTCTGCACCTTGAAGCCTAACCCTGAACCTGAAACCCTAGACGCAAGACCCTGAAAGGATTAATCAGTCGGTTTCAGGTGGTTGCTGGCCACGCTTCGGTTGCCAAAACACCAGCAGTTGACATAGCAGCTGCAGGACTTCAGCCAGCTGGATAATGAGCTCCGATCTTCTGACAAGCGCGAAAATAGAGCAGCCATGAGTCATGCCAGCGATGAGCCATAACTCCAATCTGGACCTCTGAGGAAGAGAACAGATGCTCCATAAGTCTTGAGCAGTATGATATGTATGTCAAGTCGACCTGGAGCCTATACTTGTTGAGCCAGAGGGTCCCTGTATCGTCTGAAGCTGCAAACTTAATGTCAAGAAGCCGTGAAACCTCTTATTACGACCCCATAGATCATGCAAAAAGACCTTTCAACCTGGTGAACAGACCGAGGTCAAGAGACTCGCCCTGTATACGGTTTCTCGACGCTTGTATTCAGGCAGACAGAAGAAAAGGGTCCGAAAAAGCATGAACAAAGATGCCGCATAAAGCCCAAAGCTGATTCCAACTATTAAAGCCCTCAAACCCCCCAGGCCCTTAGCCCTTCAACCCTCAAGCCCTTAACTCTGAAGCCTTAAAGCCTCAGCACGAGAGGTCCACTTCCCTATGCACGTGGATGCCGCGGCAGTTCACGACTTCCTCCTCGCACGTATTGGCTCACTTCCGACCGGGGCAGTCTTCTCTGCGTGAAACGAAAAGGAAGGCTTGAAGTGGAGACTGCTTGGGGGTCAGAAAGGGGTTTAGAGTTTAAGGGTTAGGAATTTAAGTTTTAGTGATTTGCGGACAATTTGTGGGTTTCAGTTGACACTCTCAGTACAGTAGTCGGAAGCTTCCCATGGTAGTCGCAAGCCAATGGGTTCTGGTCTGGTCTGTACAAGATTGCCGCTTGGATTCACCCAATGTTCACCTGATTATGCCAGCATAGCCCCAAACAGTAATACAGCGCCGCGACACCACCACGACCAAGACGACCACCAGGAAACCACTTCTACGTACGACACCGTGGCCAAAAGGCTTCCCCCATCGGCCCGCGACCCCCCATGAACTGGTGGGATTCAGGACTGGGTTAAATGGTTTCCTTCATATACTGGTGGGATTCAGGAGCAAGGCCAAAATGCTTCCACCAAGTACTGGCACGATTCATTTCGGAGACCAACGGGTTTACAGTGCAGTGGATCCGGCTTCCCAGGTGACGTGGCGGCACGGAACCTGTGTAACCAATGCAGCACGTGAGCTCAAACTGTGCACCGAATCGGGAACCTCCCATCGCCGGCGCTTCTCGTGCTCACGCTAACCAGCTTGAACCCCACAGTGTCTGCCGCACCTTTTGGAGAACAAAGCTAGATCCTTGAAGGGTGCCATTGACCCGAATTCTGAGAGAAGGCTTGAAATCACCACAGAGGTGCTTCCTCAGAAGTCTTCCCTAAGCTTTCCATATTCTTGGTTTCATCATTGCTGTTTCGAGTGGCTGTTGCGACTGCTGTGACAGTTTGTAAGTGGTTTCTTTGCACGTGGTCAGTGTTTTTTTGCTGAGCAGCTGTGAGGGTTTCTTGTTAACGGTTCGATCTATGTAATTAAATGACTTCTTTTAGACTATACTCCAAAACCTTCTTGTGATGACAGGCGATGATAGAAAGTAGACCCCTTTTGGTGCCCCTTGTCGAGAACCCTTAACAGGGTCCTACTGTTCTGGCATCAGCACCACGCTTGACGAAGATAAGGTCCGGATGGCACCTGCTCGGCGCTGAGATTCTTCAAGGGGATGGTGCGCAGTGAGGAGGAACTCGGGTTCAGGGCATTGCAGCTTTGAGGATTTAGGATTTCGGCGAGTGTAAGGGTTTCGTGCCCTAAACCCAAAACCTAAACCCTCAAAACCCTCAAAACCCTCAAAACCCTCAAAACCCTAAACCGTGATGTTGGTCTTGATCTGCGGTCTGCTGGCGTCACTAGGCCAGGCCTGGACCCTAAACCCCCTCACTTGACTGAGCAGTAACAGGGGTTTTTACATAGTGACCGGGGTAAGGGCCTATAACACTTCGAAGTAGTTAGGGTTGAGGGCTTGGGGTTTGGCCTTAAACTGAAGTTTCGACCGCAAGCGCCAAGGATTGAGCCGTGCTTCGGACTGTGTGCTGTCTTGCGTCCGAAGCCCGAACCAAAAAGTCATGAATCCTGAATGGTTTAGGGGTTTAGGGCTTAAGGAGTTCAGGGGTTTAGGGCTGATAATCCCTTATTTGCATTACAGGTTGTAGGATTCAGAGAGTTGTTTTGAGGGGCCCTAGTTCGTAGAAGGGGGATTGAGCATGATTTTGTATAGTTTGCAGGGCTGTAATTGTGTGGATATCTAACCCGGGTCTTACCGTTTGGCTTCAAGTCTGGTCGACCGGAAAGCCGGAAGCCCAAACTCCGCACCCTAAGCCGTGAGCCGGAGTTGTCGTTGCAGAGTCAGGCCCCTACCAAGGCCTTCCTCCGAGAGGCTGCCCAAAAGATACTACGATGAGTTTACTCATGCTACATCACATCATGTTCGAACTCTACAGTACTGTACTATACTGTACTGAAATATTATATACCAGACGATCGTCTCCCATAGACCACTCAAACTGGGAAACTTGCAGCAACGAGAAGGTCAGCGGCAGCATGAAGAAGCTTAAGGCGGGCCGGTAGCCGTTTAGAGGCTTACCCTACCCTAAGAAACCCGAGACACCTTATAAGGCCCTGTGAAAGCCACACGTTTGGAAAGGTTAAGTGGGGGTCGGGCTTGCGCGTGCGTGTGTGCGTGTGTGTGAAGAGCCGTCGCAGGTCGTTTCGTGTTAGTGTTTACACTTCAGAGTTCAGGTTGTTGGGATGTTTTGGGATGTCAGGTTTTGTCCTGAGGGGCCGAGCCCCTGAACCCTAAACCCTAAGCCGTTAGAAACCTTCCCAAACCCCGATCCAGACGCTTGGGATTTCGGTTCGTTTCTTTAGTCAAGACAACTCTTCAGCGCACCCCAAGCCTTAAACGTCACAAACCATAGTACACTATAGTATATACGGCATAATATGATATACTCTGGTATGCTCTAACTGAACATCATATCACGAACCCCTTAGAACTCTAGACCCGACGCCCTAAAGTGCCTCAGAACCAGGAGCCCAAGCAGGCGTTGGAGGCCACACTCCCACAGCCTCCCACGCCCCAACACTTTACCCCAAAGCTTGAAGCCTTTCTGTTCCTGAAACCTCCAAAGCCGACCCAACACACCAGCAAACCCTATACCCCAAGCCCCACATTCTAAAAAACCACCCCCAAAGCCCTCACACCAATAAGCCCTAAGCCCAGCAACGTGCTCATAAAGCGCACAAAGCGTCCAATAGCATCAGCCCTAAACCCGAATCTGTCGAGCCCAAACCGCCTGGAGACCCGCATGACTGCGGCTTTTGGGGGCCCAAGCAGGTGCGTCCTTCGCTGCTTCTTCCAGGCCGCAAACTGTGGACCTTTAGGTGGCGGCTTACACTTTGGGGGTATAGACTTTGAGGTTTTGGGGTTTGGGGGTACATACTTCAGGCTATTCAAGGTCTGGGGATTGGGGTATAGACTTGACGGTTTAGGCTTGGCTCAGGGATGTGTAGGGCTTCGGGCGTTCAGTACTCCGGGTGGCGTTATTTGTGTAATTAATGGGTTTAGCGGGTCCGGGGCTACTTTTTCTTATCGTGATCCACACGCAGCACCCCATCGACCCAAACCCCATGAACCCCAGACTTAAACCCTAACCCCCCCTTCCCCTCCCTCATCATTGGGTCTCGTTTTTTTTCGGGCGGGGTTCAGTGTTTCGTTCAAGCTCCGGCCGATCGGTGCCAGAAAAGGCTCATATCGGGACCTTTACACGATTCTTACAGGGGGGACTCAGGGGGCTTTACTTGAGAGACTGGCTGAAGGATATTCGTTGAATCCACGGGTTTGCATTTTGAGCTTCTGGAAAGCTGATCGCAAATTAAAGGTTTCTTCAAGGGCTTTAAGAGATTGATTTCTGGGTTTTGGGGGGTTTGGGATTTAGAGCAACAGTACAGGAGCCTGAATACATGGATTATGAGTTGCGATGTGTTATTAGCATAGGTATAGAGGGATGTCAAGATGCATGCTAGACTCAGGTTCTGCAGTACAGCTCCCGTTATATGACATATACATGCAGTTACATATATGTATGTAAGTATGTATGTGTATACATATACACATGTACACGTAGGGGCCGCAAATGAATGAAGAACCCCTGGATTCCTTTCAGAGACTGACGCTATCTCAGCAACAGATCTGGATTTTTTTATCAGGATTGTGTCGGCGCAGACACACAGCACTGGGCACGGAGAGCAGTCAAAGTTTACAAACTCGCTGCTCCCTCGGGATAGCAACATTGGGTTTCCAGACAATGGGAACCATCACTATACAACAACCTATCTAGTGGAATCCACATTTTGCACAAGCTCCATTCAAAAGGAATCCCTAATTCAGAAAGACCCTACGTAACAGACTCTGTCACTGTCATGTCGTTGCCCGGAGGCAGAAGCACCAACGGCCGCTTGCAAGACTAGTCTCCGGGGCCTTAATACCGATACTATGTTGCGAGTTCCTAATTATACTTGTAGTACGATATACCCCGAAACCCTACTATTCTGATTATTAAGGCCTCTACATTAGACCTTCGGAAGGGCTACGGAGATTCCTGGTTGAGGGCTCTCTAGTTTGCCCTGGCGCAGTGAACGGCTTGAGGGCGTTCGGATGTCGATCCCCATCCCCGAACCCTGAACCCTAAACTTTTGGGGTTTAGGGTTTGGGGCCTTAAACTCTGAACCCTAAACTCTGAGCCCTGAACCCTATACCCTGGACTCTAAGCCCTAAACCCTGAGCCCCTAACCCCGGCTGAGTTTCAGGACTTCTGTGTTTGCGCGCAAGCCCTCTGCCTTGAGGGCCTGGTTCAAGCATAGGATTTGTAGGGTCTGTACCTCGAACCCAAAGCCCTACATAAACCCAAGGCCCTACACCCCAAAGGGCTTCAGTCTTATTCCGCAGAGACCTGCAAAGTTTCTTTCTGAGCGGGGCTAGACGAGGAGCCAAGTCACAAGCCGAAACCCCAAGGGTGTAGGGTTTAGAGTGGGTTTAGGGTTTGGGGTCAGGTTTAGGGTTTACTTAGAAGCTTTAGGGCAACCTTGTGGCACTACAAGGGGATAGTATGAGTGTCCAGGCCCCTATTGACTATTGCGGCGGGCAGCAGACTAGCAGGAAGGGAGCTGATCCTCAAACCTCCACCAAGACCATATTAAAGGCCTTCGATGTAACTTAGAGCCTTACAAGTAGCCCTTGCCGAAACCTCGAACCTCACGGAGCCCCTTTTTGGGACCCTCTTGTCAAGACTACAATGCTTAAAAAGCCCAAGAAGACTTCCCGTCTTAGGTCCCCAATATAGTACGGCAACCCCTAGAAGAAGGACCCTAAATTAGAGAACTGCCCTTCTAGCACCCTTGAAGATACCCTTCTAGATCCCTGTAAGGAGCCCTAAAACTGGACCCCAATTTCAAGATCTGCCCATATCCGTGCTGGAGCGACTTCAGCGCTCACGAACCCGAAGGGCTCAGGACCCCAAACCCCAAGATCATAATGTATAAATTGAGGCTTCAGGTAGGGTTTTTAGGGGCTTTGGGGTTGCAGGGGTTTAGGGTTCTCTATAGGAGCCTCAGCAACCAGAACAGGTTTCTTGGAGGTTTAGGGCTTAGGGTGATGAAGCTGTGAGTATCAAGGGAGTTTATAAGGGGGAAATATTACGACGACCCATGGAGTTCTCTAGGGCTTCGCCTGAAGATGAGACCTACCCAAAATATCCCCTCTGAAAACCTAATACCCAGGCACTTATTGGGTCGCTTCGGGAGCAAAATGTTCCGTGCATAGGTCCCCTTCCGAGTTTCGAGGCCAGCGCGTGTGTGGCTCAGCTACTGAGGGCTGAACGCGCGAAGCACCAGGAGTTCTCAGAGAATCTCAGAAAGGCTTTTGGGGTGTGGCAGTTTAGGCTTAGGGTTCTCACTGGATTCTCGCTTGAGAGGCGTAGGCTTTGCCGAAATTCAGGTTGCAGGGGTTTCGGGTGAGGGGTTCAGAGGGTTGGGAGCTTGGGGGTTAGGGCGGAGGTTTCAGGGTTTAGGGTCAGTATAGGGTAGCTGCTTTAATGATAGTTGTTTGCGACCTTGGCAAGACATGGCATTCGCCACGAACGGATGCGTCGGTGCTGCTGCTTCATGGCATGCGAAGTAAGACTTGCAATAGGAGACAGAGTGTTCATATCGGTGGGCATGCTCCGCAAACACAAAATAACATTCGGTTCCCTCCAGGGTTTAGCAGACTAGGTCCCCTAGCATGGCCGCAACGCACTTTGCGTTCGTGGCCTTTTTGTGAGAGCTGATTGTTAAGGCGTGAATTACTGAACCTAAGAGAATAGACTAGAGCCGTACTTGAGCGCCTGCTTGATCTAAGCCGAAGTTTGACAAGTCATGTTCGGTTGTACATGCTGAGTGAAGTTTGCAGGGCTGGAAGCACAAAAACCTTTGGAGGCTCCGCGGGGGTCGAGCGCAAGGGGCTTGAGGGTTTAGGGTTGATATTAGTTCTCAGGCTTCTTATTTGGGGTTCATAGTAGTTCTTATAAGCTTCTTACCATTTAGGGTTTATCTGAGTTCTTTGGTTTCTTAGGGTTTAGAGTTTATGGTCTAAGTCTAGGGAACGACCCTACGCCTCAGATCAGGTCGAATGCCACGGAGTCCATGATGCGGAGAACGTGGCACTAGCCGCCAGGCGGTGGAACGTCCAACTGCGCGGATCATGAGAGACCTAAACCCCAAAGCCGTAAACCCGAGACCCTGAAACCTTGGACGTCGATGCCGACGAGCCGCCAACCCGCAGGTGCAGGCTCTTGGCACGCTTCACGCCACGGTGTCACCAAGGGGAATGACTGGACACGGCTGTGACGCGGAACTAACCTCCAGGTGTAGTCGTCGTCGTCGTGGTGCCAAGGGATCGCAGTCATACTGCCGGGCCTTGACTCTTGACACTTACAAGTCTCTTGGGATTATGACATCTGATATGAGACATACCCATATCTACATTCAATCCTTACTATGAAACCCAATAAGACCCAAGGCCTAAATTAATGTCAACCGCAGCAGCCAGGGAAAGAGCAAAGCTCGGGGCGCTTGGATTTGCTTTGATGGGCCTTCGGGTTTAGGGCCTAGGATTTGCGACATCCAAAACTGGATGGTGACAGCGAGCATTGCTGGGTTCTTGTTTCAAAGTTTTTTTACGGCTGCCATGCGCATC